TCAAGCTCTCATGACTGACCAAAACAACAACAACAACAAAGTCATGTTATGTCACTCCTAAGTTAAAACCTTCCAAGGGACTCCCAATTACACTGAGACCAAAATTAAAACTATTCATTAAGGTCTTCCTACTTCTTCTAATATATGCTCATTGGATGAACCAAAATGATTTAGATACTCTTGCTCCTCAGCTGACACCTCCACCCCAGGGCTCCGACCTCATTCAAAATGGATGCCAAGACCTCACCTAGGTATCATCCCTACCTAAACTCTTCACTTTTCCAATCCTACAAAATATTCTTTTCTCCCTCTCCCAGAGTGGCTCACTCCCTCACCTCTCCACACTAAGTACGGAGGTCTCTGTAAAAACTCCACAGGGTTCAGACCAATTCTGAATAGCTGGACACAGAGATTTCTGGACCATAATGTACCAGAGAGGGAAGTTCTGTGCCCTGTCTCTCATACCACACCCTATCTGTGTCTTCATCCATTAGTACCCCTGGTAATACACTTTGTAATTAACCAGTAAATGACATTTGACATTTGACAAATGCCACACTATCTAAAACTACAAGTCTCTTTCCTGCCTTGTATTTTTCTCCAGAACCCTATAAATGTTACTAGTTTATTATTGTTCCATTAGGAAGAGGGTGGGCTTTTTTCTGTTCTGCTCTGTTCATGCGTTACCCCAGTGCCTGGTACAGAACCTGCTACATTGAGGTTTCAGGGGGAGGTTTATTGGACAATGATCTGATTCTTGCCACCTACCCACTTCTACCTGGGTAGTCTGGCTTACTCCATTCCAGCCAGTGGCTTTCTCTCTACTCCTCCAGCGGGGCAAGCTCATGCCCACTTCAGCACACATTCCTTGTCTGGAATTTTCTGGGGCTAACCCCTTGGTTTCAAGGTATATCTGAAACTGCCTTGCTTGTTCTTGAACCTATAGCAGGTGTTTTGGGCTGTCCACAGCTGGTTCTAGGTGCGCAATAATATCTATTGCACGTATATGGATCTCATGTGAGTCTCAGTTTTCCACTCCCAGCTGTCTCTGGGCTCTTGACAGCACATAGGAAACCCCAGGAGGTCATTCATTAGCAGGCCTGTGATCATACAGTTTTCACACCTGAGGAAAATGCTGACTGTGGAACTAGTTCCGAGTCACAGATCTCTAAACCAGCAGGGCTAGCTTTAATTCTCTTCTTTCAAGACTGTCACGACTCTGGCAGAATTCAACAGTACAGTCCTTACAAATCTGTTCCAGGAAGCCCACATTCGCTAATCTTATACTTTACACTAATTGTTTTCCATGAACATGCTGGTTCCTTAAGAATGAACGGTCAAGGGGTCCAAACCAATCTGTGCGACATCTAGCATTGTTTAGAGAATGGTTCGCTTTAAAACGCACGTTTAAATCACTCTCAGGTGCATATTCAAAGGCATGCACCAAGCAGCTCTCCAGGCAAGGTTGGGCGGCAATAAGGAGTTCAGGGAGAGTGTGACCTGCGGGAAGGGGGGGGAAGGGGGAGACCCGGCTTCCTGGCCCCACTGGCCCCAACAGTCCCACACAGCCTGGACGCACGGAGCGCGGTGCCGTCACCTCACACCCAGGCCCCTCCCCAGGGACCTTCCCCCCCTGCAGACCCCGCCTCACCCATAGGTGGTCAGCAGTGCTTTGTTGACCAGCACGATGAGGAAGGAGCAGATCCCGTAGAAGAGCGCCGACAGCAGCTTGACCGCCCGGGAGGGCAGCCGCGCCGCGTCGAGTTCCGCACCCTCCGCCTGGCCATCGGTCCTCATATCCTCCCCCGGCCCAGCGACTCCCCGGGCCGGCCCCAGCACTGGCTTGGCCCGCGGTGCCCGGCACGGATGGGTCCCCGCCCCCGGCCGGCCCGGGAAGAGGGCGCGGCAGGAACAGGAAGAGCCACCGAGCGAGCCCTAGATGCCGGTCCGCCCCCTGCCAGCGCCCCGAGTGTTTCTGGACCCGAGCCTCGGAAGCACCCCAAGTCTCCGCTGCTCCTCTAACGCTCTGCAAGGGCGTTGGGGAAAGTTCCAGACTGTTCTGCAGGGACGTAAAACTTCATGAAGTTGAGGCTTCATTTTGCTTTTTTTTCTTAAACTTGCAGTTAGCATGCAGTAAATGATGAGAATGTTTCCATCTTTCAAACGTCCCTCTGCGACCCTTGGGGATTAATTCTCCCAGCTCATCATTCTCTGTTCCGTGAGCTGCATTCACCTTTTCCAGAATTTCATGTAAATGTGCAGCTTCTCTCGAATTCAGGTAAAGGGATGCATACTCCCAAGGCTCGTTCCTCACTCGTGGAGGGTTCTGTGTGACCTGGCCGGGGTGAAACGTTAGGAGTCGGTTTGTTTCTACACTCACCAGGGGATTGGCAGATTTGGTGTTGTCAATTTTAGGGCTATTATGAAAATGGCTTTCATGAGTATTGGTGGGCAAATATTTTTGGTGTCATAACTGATAGATTTGTAGGAGTGTACCAGGTAGGGGGTAAGTCTCAGGGCTTTTCTTGTCTCTGGGTGTTTGGGGGTAAGGGGCAGATCTGTTCTCATTTCAGGGCCTTTTTTTTTTTTTTTACCACGATAGCAGTGTAGCAATGAACTGCATACAGTAAGCAGAATCCACCTGCTCTAGCTTTTCTTTCTTTTTCAAGTGAATGTCCCATGTTTTCATCTCAAACTATTTTTAAAATCTGAAATTTAAGCTGTTTAGAAATGCTACAATTTCCAGTTATATGACGTTGAAGCCTAAATACATAGACACCAGGACAAATGTTTTCCTATTTCAAGTCCCAAACAACCAAAGGATGGAAAGAAACACTTTCCACCCTAAAACAGAACTTTTGAAAGCAACTAGCACTAGAAAGGCCAAGAGTCCAAATTACTCAAACAGAAAACAAATGTCCTTGGGCTGGCAGTGTGTCTCAAGTGGTATAGCACCAGCTATGATCAAGCAACCTGATTGAGAATATTAGGCCCTGTTCAAACTCTAGTGAGAGGGAGGAAGAAGGGGGAAGGACATAGGGAGTGGGAGAGAGGGAGAGGAAGAGTGAGAGAGGGAGGAAAGGAAGGAGAAAGAGGGAGAGAAGAAGGGAGGGAAAGAGAGAGAAAGGGAGAGAGGTATCGAGCTGGGTGCTGGTGGCTCATGCCTGTAACCCTAGCTACTCAGGAGACTGAGATCTGAGGATCACGGTTCAAAGTCAGCCGGGGGAAGGAAAGTCCGTGAGTCTCTTATTTCCAATAAACCACTAGAAAGCCAGAAGTGGTGCTGTGGCTCAATCGGTAGAGCACCCACCTTGAGATGAAGAGCACAGGGACAGCGCCCAAGCCCAGAGTTCAAACCCCACAACCAACAACAACAACAAAAAAAGAGAGAGAGAGAGAGAGATCCATTTAAAATAGAAAGTGAATTCATACTGCAAGTTCAGCCAAGAATCTGAATCACTTTGGCTAATTCCCTCCAACAGTTCTATTATTATTTAAAAATACTGCATAGCAGTATTTTTGAAGCCATTTTTATTGCCTTACATACATGAGATCCTAAGCAGTTCCCAGCAACACATACTTTTAGTAGTGGCTTGCTTTCCTTAGTTTCCATTCACTTTAAAAATCCCCATTTTTACACTGGCTTTTTCTTTTTTCTTTTTTTGGTGCTGGTCCTGGGGCTTGAACTCAGGACCTAGGCACTGTCCCTGAGCTTTTTAATGCTCAAAGCTAATGCTCCTCCACTTCAATCACAGCTCTACTTCTGGCTTTTTTTTGTCTGTCCTGGGGCTTGAACTCTGGGCCTGGGTGCTGTCCCTCAGCTCTTCAGCTCAAGGCTAGCTAGCAGTCTACCACTTGAGCCACAGCGCCACTTCCGGTTTTCTGGTGGTTTATTGGAGACAAGAGTCTCCCGGACTTTCTTGCCTGGGCTGGCTTTGAACTGTGATCCTCAGATCTCAACCTCCTGAGTAGCTAGGATTACAGGCATGAGCCACAGGCACCCAGCTTACTTCTGGCTTTTTTTTTTTTTTTGACAGTTTATTGGAGGTAGGAATCTCGGACTTTCTTGCCTAGGGCTGGCTTCAAACATCTTCAGATCTCTGCCTCCTGATAGGATTTACAATGTGCCTTGGATGTTCAGCATTTTTTTTTTCTTTTTCACCATTTAAATCACAACTCACACTAAAAAGATGCTTGGGAATTTTTTGCACAATGAAGATCAGGATGAGAGATAACAGATGGAAAAAGAAAGCCAATTTATAGCAATAGCAAAGGAAACAGGCTCTATCAGTGGATTCTTGGTAAAGTGATTCCAGATTCAATATATGCTGAATGTAAGTGAAGTGAAATTCCAGTTCCTTATTACCTAATTTAAGGTATGGGATAGAGCTGGCAATAATTTAGTATCTACCTACACCAGTGCATTTCTAACACTGTATTGATGAACCAGATAATGAAGTTAAGTATAATTTAAAAGGTTGTAATTTTAAAGGAACTGTAATTCCCAGAAATGAGATGGTAATGAGATGTATCAAAATAATGCTGTTAGAATATAGTAGGTTATGTTTCTTATTACTAATTTTTTTTGGGGGTAGGAGAATTGGGGAGTTCCTGGAATTTGAACTCAGGACCTCATTCTTGCTAGGAAAACATACTGCCACTTAAACCCCACCCCCAGACCTTTTTGCTTCCACTATTTTTTGAATAGGGTCTCACTTTTTGCCGATGCTGGCCTGGATTGTGAGCCTCTTATTTAAGTTCAATAGCTAGGATGACAGTATGCACCGTGTCAGCATTTTATTGGTATGGTAGGGGCTCATATCATGAGCTTTTCACCCAGGGTGGCCTGCAACCATAATCTTCCCAATCTAGCTTTCTGAGACGGTAGGATTACAGCAAGGGCCACAAGCCAGTTTATTTTTTACATATTTCAGATAATATGGTTACTATATTTTTGTAGGAAAATAAATTGCAAAATCTTTAAGAATGATACTTTAAGCTTTAAATTAAAATAAATTTTTATTCAAAGCATCTTTTAAAATTACAGCATATTTATTGATATGCTGCTAACTCTGCCAAACTACAACTTTGCCATATGAAACATAAAACACTTCCAAAATTTGAATGTAAACCACATTTTTAAAACAAAAAGCAGTCTGAACACACCTCAAATTTTAGATGCCAATATATTTTGTCCAAATGTATCTTATATCAAAAATGAACCTCTAAAAATGTATCCATAGTGAAGTTATCATCTCTTTAATTGTTCTAATTATACAAATTTAAAAAAATGTTTCTGAAATAACTAGTGTGGTTGACAAAAGCTGACTGGAAACTAACAAAAACCCTTCCTTTTAGGTCTTAAATTTTATCATCTGGCAAATACTTGCATTTTCAAACTTTGTATTGCCCTTTCTTCCTTAAGTAAAATTTCAGACTTTAAACTTCCCAAGACTGATAAATGTTGCTTTTCAATTCATATATTTATGTTCACTTAAGAGGAAAAATTCAAACAGAAAATTCAGATGCTATGCTCTCTCTCACCACATTTTTAAGTGCTCCAAGTTAAAATTCTATATACCAGATTACAAACAAAATTCTTCGACTATTACAAATATAAATTTTTTTCTTACAATAAACAATCCCTAAATATTTGTAATTTACTGTACAGAGGAATTACATTTTTAAAGTATGTCCTCATCATACACATTATTTGCAACTCTTATATTCAGTTTCATACTTTTGCTTCTTTCAAGACAATTACATACCTCTTCCCCCATGGCTATTCATTTTAAACTACCTGTATACTACAATACATTGGGATTTTTGGATAAAGAAGCCTACATTCTAGATAATGTGTGAACTACATTTGTAGGATACCACCTAAACTCAAAGTAAAAAAGGCTCTGAAGAACCAATCTTTCCTTCTACTACTCTGTGGTTTACTCTAAGCAATTTTTAAATTACCATGCTATGCATGTAATTTATTTCAGCTTATAACTAAAGCTGAAGTAACAGTTTTATGCCTACATTGGGAGGTGGACTGCTCAGATTTTCTTTTTTTTTCTTTAATATATAAGGTGGTGCTTAATAATTTCATTTATTTGGAAAACAAGATTTAAAACCACCACACAAGTCAATACACTTGCAGTTCAAACTATTCCAGATGCCTATATATTTGAGTAGCTAATATTCTTCTGCTGTGTTTAATTGACAGCTAAATTTAGTGAACACAAAATAGTTTGGCATGTTATTCTGAAGTAAAGCAAGAAGGTGGCTTTATGCACTGAAAATATAAATATGGAGGCTTCCATCTGCTAAAAACGCTAAACAAGCAGTACAAATAAAATTTAGTGTTTACTAACAAAAGATCCAAAACATTTCACTATACAATAACCCTGTAGAAGTCCCTTTTATTAATACAAACACAAGTGCCAAATCTCATTACAGGGCCCATAACAGATGTAATTGGTATAGATATATACACCAATTACCATGTTACCTAGACTTTGCAAGATTAATCACTCAATTTCAGCGAATGAGAAATGTGAAATGTGCAAAAATTACCAAGTTAACATGTAAAGGGTGACAAGTGTTTTTCAAACTTAAACATTATAGTGAATTATAAAGCCCCTGAAAGATAAAGACAGACTGATTTTACTCCACTTTTGAAAATTCTGAACTGTGGTGCAGCTTACCAAAATCTTCAACTATCTACTGTTTGACAAGTCCATGACTTAGAGCATCTTCCCATTTTTCCAGCTTATTGGGCATGCTATTTTGCAACTTTGAAACATTTACCTTATACACCCATCTTATATCGTTAAAACATACAAATATACATTGTTAAAAAAGATCTTTCAAATAATCTATTTCAACCTTCTTTGGCTATTTGTACCATTCTTTTTTTTTTCTTTCACACAAATGTCTTATTCAGAAAGTGCCTCCTGTGAGAACTGCTTCCAATGAATGCATTAAACTTGCAAAATCTAGCTTCCCACAATATGTAGTTTTCTACCCTGTACTGTGCAGTCCATATTTACAAAATATTTTAAACTTTACATCAAATCCATTTCCATAGAAAAAAAGTGCAATTCTCTCTCACCCCATATTCTGGAGCAATGACATTCTTCATAAATTTCTACAGAATAGCAGCCTATGACAAGCAAATAAGGTGCTTAGCTTACGCCCAAGGATCTACTTTGTAAGTACGCTGGGCAGTACTTTTGTACAGTGCAGTCTGTGTGCAGCCTACTGGCGGAGTGGCGCCCCAGTCAGATTGGCAAGCTCAATGAGCGCCAGGGCCCCATGCAGGCGTTCCCGCTGCTCTTGTAGCCGGCGCTGGGCACCACTCTTTTCATCTTCTTCCTCATCAGACTGAAGGTATTCCAGAGGGTCCTGCTGCTCCTGATCCGCCTTCTGAACCAGCTTGGCTTTTAAGGTGGGGGCACGCTGCTCTTTCATTTCCCAGTATCTGTGTGAAAGGTGGACACATCAATTATTTGGAACACGTCGAATTCCCAAATACTGACTTTTCTTTTTTTCAAAAAGAAGTTCCTGCTGGGCATCAGTGGCTCACATTTGTAATCCTAGCTACTCAGGAGGCTGAGATCTGACAATCGTGGTTCAAAGCCAGCCCGAGCAGGAGAGTCCGAGAGATTCTTATCTCCACCACTCAGAAAACCGGAAGTGGCACTGTGGCTCAAGTGGTAGAGCACTCGCCTTGTTTTGAAGAGCTGAGGCCCAGGCCCAGAGTTCAAGCCTCATGACTGACAAAAAAAAAAAAAAAGATGTTCCTTAACACAGGATAGCTTTTAAATCATTCCCATTTACAGAGGGTAAAACTCAATCAACCTCAAAGAAGTGAAGACTTCTGTTCAGGCTTCTATAACTAAAACCCAGCAGTTTCAAATTCCATACTCTAATTGTGTGTTTTTGCCATTAAACTTATTGCACTGGGGCTGGGGATTTACATCAGAACTGGAGTGCTTGCCTAACCTACACAAGTCACTGGGTTCAATCTCTATCACTACAAAAGAAAGGGAAGGGAGGGAGAGGAGGGAAGGGGGAAAGGAGAAGGGAAAAGGGAAAAGGAAAAGGAAAGGAAGGAGGAAGGGAGAAATGAACAATGTAATGTACTAAACCACAATGTATTTGAGAGCTATAAAAACAGTACTTATTATTTCATGTAAAAACGTCCATGTAAAAATGTCCATACAGTTTTACATATAAATGTTTATAATTGCTTTATTTGTAGTAGCTTAAAATAACCCAATGTCTGTCAAAAATTGACAAATATCCTCGTAATTGATTACTATCCAGCAATAAGAGGAATGAATTCTTGACACACTCAAAATGGATGAATCTTAAAATAATGATGTTGAATGAAAGAAGCCAAACAGGATACATACTGTTTAACTACATCTATATAAAATTCTAGGAAAAGCCCAGCAGTGGTGACTCATAGCTGTCATACCAGGTATGTGGTTAGTGAGATCATGATTGTGGTTCCAAAGCAGCCTGGGTAGAAAAGTCTGAGAAATTACATCTCAGTGGAAGAAGCTGAGTATAGTAGGATATGCCTGTCATCGAGCTATGGTGGGAAGCAAAAAACAGGAGGATCACAGTCCAAGTGCATGCCCAGGCAGGAAGTGAAATCCTATTTCAAATATAAGGAGGTGTAGCTCAACACCAAAGCCACTTCTGAGCAAGTGCAGGATCCTGAACTTGATCCTAAATGTAGAAACAGCATGTGAAGCTGTGGGAACGCATGACCAGGTGCTGCTGGCTAGTCTACAGCAGGTAAGTTCTTAATGTTTAAGAGAAAAAAAGTTTATATTGACTCCCTCCATTGCAATATGGCATGCAAATTCTTGAAGCATTCTGTATTTTTTCAATGAGTCACAGAAGGCTTTGAAAAAGTTTATTAAGAAGACTTGTGGTTAGGGCACTACTGTAATTTCCTAACACACATTAGAATCTAATGCCACTCAACAATTTCACCGGAAATAAAGGACTTTTCAGGGTTATTTTTACAAAATATGCATAGAAGCAACTTATTTGGAATGAGAGAATCCTCAGTCCCTACCACAACCATAATGCAGACAGGAATCTTCTAAGGCGAGAATAGAGAAAGGACTTACTTTGCCAGCCACTCAGCAGCAGCCTTGTTGTCCACCGCCTGGTGTTTGCTCAGTGTGTCCGTGGGCTCCTCTCTCTTCAGCCTTGCATAAGGGTGCTTTGGACAGTGGCGATTTGCATGGGTGAATCTACTCAGGCAACCTTTAGGACATGGAAGGAAACACTTATGAGAATCCAGCCAGACAGATAGTAAAAATGTTCAGTCTTGTTATTATCCAAGCAAAGTAAATTCAGGTAGAGATTCAACATTTTATAATGAAACAAGCCTCTACATGGTCTTATCAATGTTAATAAAAGGGACAAGAAAATTTTCTAACACAATTTGGTCATCACCAACAAATACAAATGATAAACATGTTCAAAAACTCTGACCTGGGAATTCTGTTCTTGGAGTCAATCATAAAGATACATCTCAAAAGATGAAAAAAGTTCCAGATGTGAACAATATTCCTCTCAGCTTGATTGGTAATGAGCATAATTAAAAACATGCTACATATTCAGTAGCTAATATTTGCTTAAGCAAAAATTAAGTAGAATGAGGAAGTCTGTTGAGCTTCTGCACAGTACAGGAAAGAACATAATGAAAAGACAACTTACAGTGGGAGAATAGCTTTGCTATCTACTCATCAACGAAGATTAATACCCTAAATATATAAAGAACTAAAAAATTACCAAAAGCAACCAAACCAAACAATGGATAAATGATCTGAATCAATTGTATGTTCTTCCTTCAGGGTATAACCCCTGTTATCACTGTATTTGATTATGGTGTCCCGCATCTTGTATATACATTTTTCTAATTTGGGGAGGGAAAGGGAAATAACAAAATGCTGCAAAAAAATAAGGATACAGGATGACCCATTGTAACAATGAGATGTACAAGACAGTATGTTGAAAACAACTTTGCGGGGATTGGGGGGAGAGGGGGGAGGGTAGAGGTGGGGAGGAAAGGGATGGTAGGGGAAAAATAAAGGAGGGGGTAACAATGCTGGATAGGAAATAGACTCATTATCTTGCTCATGTAACTGTAACCCCTCTGTACAGTATCTTTACAATAAAAAATATATATTACAAAAAAGTTTTCAAAAGTGCAAAACATGAAAAATGTTCATTATCTTTAGCCATCAGGGAAATACAAAAGCACAATGAGATCCCATCTCATCCATCACAACAGTAATCACTTAAAAAAAAAAAATCTTGGTGCGGATGTGGAAGAATCTTTATTAATAAGAATGTAAATTACGGCAGCACCTATGAAAAACAGTATTCAGGTTCCTCAAAAACTAAAAATAGAACTATACAACTCTTAATTTAGTCAGCATACAAAAGAAGACACCTGCACACCTATTTACTGTGGTACTGTTCACAAAAGCCAAGGAAGGAGCCAGTCTGAATGCCAGTCAGTAGATAAGTGGATTAAAAAAACTATGGCATTTGCAAATGGAGTGTTATTTAGCCATTAAGAAGACTAAAGTTACATCATTTGCAGAAAAATCAAAGACATCAAGTTAAATAAGCTGGACACAAAAAGGTAAGTATTAGAAGTTTTCTAAATATAAAACTAAATGTTAAAAAAGTCTGTAATCATATGTAACATAATAAAAACTATAAAGTAACAACTGTACTAAATTTTATAAAAAATATAGCAAAAATCTATAAATTGTGATAAAAGATTGGTTAATATGCTTATTTCAGTTTAGTATTTGAAAAGTTTAACCAGACACAATAGCTTCTGCCTCTAATTCCTACTCAGGAGGCAGAAATTGAGGACAGTAGTTCTAGGCCAGCCTGAATGAAAAGTTAGCAAGACCCACATACCAACAAATAAACAAGGAGTGGTGGCTCACACTATAATCCCAGCCATGCAGAAGGTATAAGTTAGAGGACTGTGGTCCAGGACAGCCCCAAGGAGGGGAGGGAGAGATAGTAAGACTCTATCTGAAAAATAATTAAAGCTCCGGATACCTCAAATGGTGAAGTTAACTGCCAAGTAAGCACCAGACTGAGTTCAAACCTCATAACCCCTCCCCCCACAACACACAAAGTTTAAAACTTAAAACCAATGTAAAAGATTACTCTGAAGGTTGTATTTACTTTTATAGATATTTTTATCTCCTCCTCAAAATTAAATGTAGCATTTTGAATTTTCTTTTAAGGCTTTCATATAAAAAGAATAATTTATTTAGAACTCAAGACATTTCCAAGAAATTAAGCATGGATCACAATTAACAAGAAAACGTGGGCCAGGGTGAAGCAGAGTGGTAGGATACCTGTCTAGCATGCATTCATGCCCTAGATTTCATACTCAGCACTTGGGGATAGTGGTGGAAAGCTTATATGGTGTTTTCTAAAATTGTAACCAAAATTTTCTTCCCTGAAAAAAATCCAAGTAAAACACACTTTACCTATGAACTCACTATTTTTCCAGAAACTTAACGTTAAGTACCATACCATTTTCTGAACAAACAAAAGGCTTCTCTCCAGTATGAAGACGCTGATGAGTTTTGAGCTGTCCACTTTGAACAAAGGCTTTTCCACAGTCTGGATAGTCACACAGATAGGGTCTCTCACCTAAAAAGACAGATGTTACATTATACCTGAGACAATAAGGCAACAGATCACAAGTGCACAATAAAACACATCACTGTACACAAAGGGACAAGTGGCAAGGTCCCCAGCATCATGTGGGTGGTATCAAAAGAGGAAACACAGTATCCTCTTTAGGCTATGGGCTGTCGAGAATCCAGGCTTAAATCCTTGAAGTTTTCATATTTACCTTGCCTATATTTTTTATTTCCCATACTTTAAATCCTAAGCTCTTGCTGATTCTTTACAATGTCTACCACTCTTGTTTTCCATGGCTATTTCCTCTACCATGGCCTCCAATACCACCCAACCTGAAGGGACCCTCCCACACCCTCCTAACTGGCCTCTAGACTCTTCTTGCATAGCACTTCCATAGTAGCTGGCATAGAGCTCTGTTTGTCATACCATCTACCTCCCAGATCACCCTAAACTCTACTCCATTCTTTGGACAACTGAAAATTACATGCTGACTTTTATATGTTATGCAATCTTAGCTACTGGAAGGGGTCAGAATTTACCTGTATCTCCCCCAGGACAGACATTCTAGCCTGGAGGCTATTCTTTCTCATCTTTTTTTTTTTGTTTGTTTGTTTTACTTTGATTTAGGAGTGGCCTAATTAATTTTTAAAATATAAGAGTCACCAAAATTAAATTACTTCACAAAGTAATAGTTTTAATAATAGTATCTAAAGTTAACAATGGTAATCTAATATAATAGTTTAATAATGGTATCTAATATATCTAGTAAGCTTACTTTGTAATGATTCCAAATTTAAACTTTACCGCTTTTTAGGGATTTGAATAAGAAGGGTATACTTCTGTAAACACCAAAAGAAAGAAAGAAATAGAAAGCTTGTGTGTGATGGCCCATGCCTGTAAACCTAGCTACTGGGGAGGCAGAAACAGGAGGATCAAGGTCAACCCAGGACAAAGTAGTGAGATCCTGTCTCAAAAATCAGGGCTAAGGACACAGCTCAAGTGTAGATTAATGTTTTACCTTGCACAAGACCTCTAGATTATTAGTTCAAACCCCTGAACTGCAAAAAATTAAAAAACAGGGGTGGAGGGGCTGTCAGTAGACTGAGAGGTAAAAGTGCTATCCAACAAAAATAAACTGTAACAAGTTTCATTAGAAAGGAAAAAGGCAGCCGGTATCAGTGACTTAAATCTATAATCCTAGCTACTCAGGAGGCTGAGATCTGAGGACCATGGTTCAGAGCCAGCCCAAACAGGAAAGTCTGTGAGACTTTTATCTCCAATAAACCACCAGAAAACAGGAAGTGGCACTGTGGCTCAAGTGGTAGAGTGCTAGACTTGAGCTGAAGAGCTGAGGGAAGCACCCACGCACGCTCAGAGCTCAAGCCCCACGACCAACAAAAAATAAAATAAAAGAAAGGAAAAGGGCAGATTCATTTTAGTGTGATTTCAATACATAATAATTACTATTAGTATCAGTCTTATTTATTCTTTTTCACATTAAGTACATTTCACACTTACTGAACATCTTGATTTAGACCTCTACATTCCAAGTGCTAAGCGTCACACATCTGGTCAGTGTAGCTCTCAATTTAAGGGCCAAATACATTGTAATTCAGTGGTAATCCATGTTTTGGCACTTAAGTTTTATGTATAAATTAGAGGAAGACAGGCAATAGTAGCTCACGCTTATAATCCTAGCTACTCAGGAGGCTGAGATCTTCAGATCACAATTTCAAGCCAGCATGGGCAGGAAAGTCCATGAGACTCTTATCTCTAATAAACCACCAAAAAGCTGGAATTGGTGCTGTGCTCAAAGTGTTAAAGCACTCCAGCCTTGAGCAAAAGAGCTCAGAGACAGTCAAGCCCCATGACCAACAATACATACATACATACATACATGCATACATACATACACACAAAAGAACTATAAGGTTCATTCCCCTGGGGCCAACTTTATGGAGAGAAAAATGGTCCTCTATAAATTAAGTTTGGGCTCAGTGCTACATGGAATATTTCTACATACAAATAAAGATGCATGAATAATCTTGGGATAGCTACTTAAACTACATTAATTCTGAAAAATCAGTTAAACATAAAGTTAATGGTTTGGTTAAACACTCTAATGGCATACTGAACACTCTAACTATTCTATTAATAATTGATGATTACTCTGGAAAATATACTTATCTCCAATTGCTCAGCAAACAAGAACAAGAATTGACAGATGAGATTACACCAAATTAGTTTCTGTATGCCAAAATAATGACCACAACCAAGAGACAATAGAGGAAAAAAAATCTTCACCAGCTATTCAATGAAAAATTAATATCCAGAACATAAAAAGAGCTAGGAAAGTTACACAGTGAAAGAACAAAGTAATCTAAGTGCAAATGAGTTGAATACTTTTCTCAGAAGAAATACAAATAGCTAATAAATATGTAAGTGTTCAACATTGTTAACCATAAAGATACAAATTGAAACTGCACTAAGATTTCATCTCATCCCATCAGAAGGACAATCATTAAGAAAACAAAAATAAATGCTGGCAAGGATGGAGAAGGGTTTTATGCACTGTTGGTGAGAATGTAAACTAGTAACAACCACTATGAAAATCAGTATGGAGATTCCTCAAAAAATTAAAACTTACAACTCTACACCACTCTTGGGAATATATCCAAAAGACAGTAACTCAATATATAAAAAACCTGTATATCAATATCCATGTTATCGCAGCTCTATCTATCTATGCCCAGTATAATGAAATCTACCAAAATCCATTTGAATTAGAATATGGCAGAGGACATGAAATTTTTTCAAAGTACTATGTGCACATCTGGAAATACCACAAAACAAAAATATACTATAATATATGCTAATTAAAAATAAAGTGTTAAAAATTAGTGATTGCTGTTTTCATATTTGGCCTACAAATGAGTTTAGTAATTAAGTCATCTTGGGGCTGGGAAGGTGGCTCAGTGGTAGAGCACTTGCCTTGCATGCCTGAGGCCCTGGGTTCAACTCCTCAGCACCACATAAGCAAAAAAAAAAAAAGCTGGAAGTGGCGCTGTGGCTCAAGTGGTAGAGCACTAGCCTTGAGCTGAAGAGCTGAGGGACAGCGCCCAGGCCCAGAGTTCAGGCCCCACAACTGGACCCCCCCACCTCACAAAAAAAAAAAAATTAAGTCATCTTAAGAGCATATCAAGTAAAATTCAGGTAGGCACAGGGTAGAACTCATTTTACAACAATATGACCATGACATCTAGCTTAATTACCACAGTAATTTTGGAGGTCACATGGAACAGATGTTCCAAATAAACTACCTCAACAAAAGGCAACTGACTACACAGTGCTTGTTTTTAAAACTTCAAAAACAACAGTGAACAATGTAAGAAAACTTAAAGGTACCAAAAATTTTTCCACTTACCTGTATGAGTCCTTTTGTGAGCCTGGAGTGATTTCTCCCTTGGAAATACCCTATTACAGATGTTACAACGGATCCTGCTAGATGAATGTTCTCCTTCATTTATTAAATCCCGAACTGTATCCGCTCTGGGTCTACCACGCCGGATTCCATCCTGTAAACAATGTTTACAAATCTTAATATAATTTATATTCACAAAAGCAATATATTATAAAAGATAAAGTAGTCTTTCTTGAGTGACATTAGCAAAAACAGTGGGGTAGATAGTTCCAATAGCCCATCCCTCAATATAAACCATTGAAAAATTTAGGAAAAACTATCCAAATTAGCCCTGCGGATACTCAGCAAATATTGAATAAGGAGAAAGCTTTGCAATTTTTACTAGTCTGTTCTCTTTCCCTTGCCCAGTGTGTCATAACAATGCCTGTATTCCTATTGTAGGAACTTAGTCCCACCTTCCAAAGGAAACAGAGCAGACTTTATTCTGAAATAAGTGTTTACCTAAGAACTCTCCCAGAACATATAATTGATTCTTCAGAGGACAATGCTCAAAAGTCTTGCAAGGCAAATAATCTGATGCCAGATGGGCAGTTAAGAATTGAGACAAAAAGACACATTAAAAGCCTGTACGGAAGAGCGGGGAGAAAGTGGAGAAAGTTTCTTTGAAAAATTAGAGCATTAACAAATGTTCAGGGCTGGGAAGGTGGCTCAATGGTAGAGCGCTTGCCTTGCATGAATGAGGCCCTGGGTTCGATTCCTCAGCACCACATACGCAGAAAAAAAAAGCCGGAGCAGTGCCGTGGCTCACGTGGTAGAGCGCTAGCCTTGCGCTGAAGAGCTGAGGGACAGTACCCAGGCCCAGAGTTCAGGCCCATGACCGGACCCACCCAAAACAAACAAACAAACAAACAAAAAAACCCCACAAATATTCAAATACTTAAAAAGCCACACATGTTTCATTTTCAGGCTAGATAGGATGCTCAGAAAAGCCTTCATAGTCTCTAAAATTTTGCCTCTGCTTGATCTTTAGGCTCAGTACAGCAAAAAAAAAGGAGCATAGTGTGGCTAAGCACTAAAAGTGTGCCCCTAAGCTTATAGCCCAATTGTAGAGTACAGAGCTCAGCTCTTACCACTACCATCATGAAAACAACAACAACAAAAACTATTCTCCAAAGACTTGGAAAATCTCTCTCTTTTTTTGGTTGGAAGGTGGGAGAAGAGAGTTTCAGGATTTAAGGAAATCTCTCAAAATCCTAAATGGGCAGGATGCTGGTGGCTCACATCTGTCAGCTACTCAGGAGGCTGAGATCTGAGGATTGCAGTTTGAAGCCAGCCCAGGCAGAAAGTCTGTGAGACTCTTGTCTCCAATTAACCACCAGAAAACTGAAGTGAATCTGTAGCTCAAAGTGGTAAAACACTAGTATTGAGCAGAAAAGCTTAGGGACAGCACCTAGGCCCTGAGTTCAAGCCCTATGACAACAACAACAAAAAAATATCCTAGATGGACATAAACTATAAAAAAAAAAAAAAAAAAGAAGAAGAACATAAGACTCCAGACTGCCCTCTATAGATCACCTCTGTATAATAATAAAGTAAAAAGTAAAAAAAAAAAAGGACTGGCAGTGTAGCTCAGGAGGTAGAGTTCTAAGGCCTTATTAAGCATGAGACAGTGTTCAATCTCTATCACCAGACAAACAAAAATTTGAGTATACAAATCCTCTGCCATGAAAGGATCACTTTCTCATGGGGGTGGGGGTGGGAGGTCCTGGAGCTTGAACTCAGGGCCTGAGTCCCCCTGCGTTCTTCAGCTCAAGGCGAGTGCTCTACCTCTTGAGCCACAGAACCACTTCTGGTTTTCTAGTGGTTTATTGGAGATCAGAGTCTCACAGACTTTTCTGTCCAGGCTGGCTTTGAACCATGATCCTCAGATCTCAGCCTCCTGAGTAGCTAGGATTACAGATGTGAGCCACTAGCACCCGGCTCCCTGAGTTTTTTAGCTCAAAGCTAGTGCTCTATCACTTGAACCACAGCTCCACTTCCAGCTTCTTTTTTTTAGTGCTTAATTGGAGACAAGAGTCTCATGGACTAAGAAACGTATTTATTGCCTGGCTTATTAAATAGTAACCACTCTATACAACATCTAAACTGTGTGTGTGTGGAAAGAGCGAGAGAGACAGTTTCAGAGCTCTTCCTGCCCAGGCTGGCTTTGAACCACAATCCTACAATCTTAGCCTCCTGAGTGGCTAGGACAATAGGCATGAGCCAACCATCCCTGGCTTTTCTAACATGTTATTGACTCGACTCTATGCAATTCAGAATAACTGATTTGCTATTGAATATTTAAAGAGTTATAAATGAGGTGCCAGTGGCTCATACCTGTAATCCTAGCTACTAAGAAGGCTGAGATCTGAGGATTGAGGTTCAATGCTAGCTAGAGAAGGAAAGTCTTTGGGACTTCTATCTCGAATTAAACACCAAAAAGCCTGAAGTAGTGCTGTGGATCAAGTGGTAGATTACTAGTCTTGAGTAAAAAAGCTTAATGACAGCTCCCAGCACAGATACAGGCACAGGCACACACGCACACAGAAAGATTATATATGTAACATATAAAAAAATATATATAATATATAAAATACATATATATGAAAAAAGCATGTCTAACAGAGAAGAAGACACAAAACATTAACCATACTGCTATATTTCAAATAACACTTCAGTTCTCCACAAGCAAACTAGGTTTTCCAAAGGAGGAAGTGCTGCAAAATACAATACAATACAATACAATACAATACAACACAACATACTGACCACAGACAGGTAAGGTTTCACTAAATACACTCTTTTATCTGAGTCATCTAATGCCCTAAGGAAATGAAGGATCTTTTAACAATACATTTTTAAATAAGCCATACTACTTACTTAAAAAGTACCATTTTCATTTTGCCCCTAACAAAAACAAGAAAACTATGTTTCTAGGCAAGTTTTGACAATTACAGCATGAACTCATCATAAAACAACTGCATCTGTGGCCTAAGGAACAAATCTTACCAAGATTGTTGACAGTTCACAAGAAAAAGATATGCCAGCAAGCAATTTCAAGAAGCATGATTTTTTGCTGGTCGCTCACACCTGTAATCCTAGCTACTCAGGAGGCTGAGATCTGAGGATCTCGGTTCAAAGCCAGCCCGGGCAGGAAAGTCTGTGAAACTCTGATCTCCAATAAACCACTAGAAAACCGGAAGTGGCGCTGTGGCTCAAGAGGTACAGGGCTCACACAGGGACAGCGCCCAAGCCCAGAGTTCAAGCCCCATGACCGACCAAAAAAAAAAAGAGGCATGATTTCATTACCAAAAACTTCTGCATACTTTAGTAAATGTAATTTTTTTTTCTTTTTTTGGTCCAGTCATGGGGCCTGAACTCTGGGCCTGGGTGCTATCCTTCAGCTCTTCAGATCAAGGTTAGTGCTCTACCACTTGAGCCACAGCGCCACTTCCGGCTTTTTTCTTTTTGCTTATGTGGTGCTGAGGAATCGAACCCAGGGCCTCAGGCATGCAAGGCAAGTGCTCTACCACTGAGCCACCTTCTCAGCCCCTAGTAAATGTAATTTGTGTGTACGTGTGTGTGTGTGTGTGTGTGTGTGTGTGTGTGTGTGAGAGAGAGAGAGAGAGAGAGAGAGAGATTGATCCTGGGGCTTGAACTCAGAGTTTAGGCACTAATCCTGATCTTTTTTTTTTTTTCTCCAGGCTACTAGCACTCTACCACTTGGCTTTTTGGTAGTTAATTGGATATAGTCTCGTGAACTTTCCTGGCCAGGGTGACTCTGAACTGCAATTCTCAGATCTCAACCTCTTTGAATAGCTAGGATTACTCAGTGGTGTGAGCCACTGGTGTTCAGCTCCTTTACTAAGTGTAACTTAAAAAAATAATAATTTGTGTATCTCCAGAAGGCAATTAGTAATTTTGAAAATGTTTAGCCATGTGATGACTAAAAAAACTTAATTCCTTGATATTTTTATACAGTGAAATACAAATAAAGGGAATAAACATAACCTAGAAGATAAATTAGATCTTAAAGTATTCATACCTAGATGAGAAAAACTATAATTGATCCTATTTCTCTTCTCTCATTCAGATCTAGATCCAAAATTCCTATAACCTTGTATCTGCCTCCTAACCCTTTCATCTAGATTTATCTTCACAATTTCCCAAATCCTAACGCTAATTTACCTCTGGCATTGTGTATACCCTTGCATAAATCAACTGAAAGTGATATGCTATAATATTTCATACATATTCTATATCAGTTGCTACTAAACAAATTAAAATAACTCCCTTAAAGTCAATTTATAGTCAGGCACTGGGGGCTCACACCTGTCATTCTAGCTACTCAGGATCTTAGGTTTCCAGTTCACAGCCAGTCACAGGAAAGACCATGAGACTCTTATCTCCAATGAACTACCAGAAAACCAGAAGTGGTGTTGTAGCTCAAGTGGTAGAGTGATTGCCTTGAGCTGAAGTTCAGGGATAGCGCCCAGGCCCAGAGTTAAAGCCCCGAAAAAAAAAAAAAGTTCTGGAAGGTTCCTCAGTTCTATCACCTATAAATCTTAATCTCAAAGACTCTTCTCTACTTTCTCCTTCCTCATCATGCAAACAAGATTAAATGAATTTGAAATGTCAAAAATATCCAACACAGAGCCAGGCAGCAGTTTGCTGCTAACATTATGAAGTGCTTACTCCATGTCAGACAGTAAATGGCAGCTACTATGCCACCTGACACAAGGTTTAACATGTTACCAAAAATTAGCATGTACAAATTTCTGTAACTGAGTTGTATGACTACATGCAGTCTAGATGTTATGTTAAAGAAAGAGGACTTGAGAAAGACAGTGGCAGGTTATAAAGGGTGCACAGTACTTAAAAAAGCCTCCACAAAGCAGTATGGAGGTTCCTCAAAAGACTTCACATAGAACTCCCCTATGACCCAGCAATCCCACTTTTGGGCATTTACCCAAATGTTTACAAACAAGACCACACTAAAGCTACCAGCACAACAATGTTTATTGCAGCATTATTTACCATAGCTAAGATATGGAACCAACCCAGATGCCCCCCAGTAGATGAATGGATCAAGAAAATGTGGTATATATACACAATGGAATTCTATGCCTCCATCAGAAAGAATGACATTTCCCCATTTGTTAGGAAATGGAAAAACTTGGAAAAAATTATATTAAGTGAAGTAAGCCAGGCCCAAAGAAACATAGGTCCCATGGTTTCCCTTATTTGCAATATCTAGTATATGTATGAGTCAAGCGGAAAAGGTCAGATAATGTGATGTCAGGAAAATGAACCCTTAGATATGTATTTTAATGTTTTTTTCTTTCATGCGTTTCTAACGCATTTATAAGATTATCTCTTTGTTGCTTTGTATGTCCCTCCCCCACAGTATAACCCCTGCTTTCACTATATTTGATGCCAGTATAACTTGTGAAGGAGATGGGGAAAAACCAGTTGTTTAAGGATACAGGTGGACCTGTTGCAACAATGAGAAGTACAAGTTGACATGTCCAAAACGAGCTTTACAACGTCGGTGGGGGGGGGAAGGGGGGGGAAGGAGAAGGATTGGGATTGGGGGGGAGGGGGGAGGCTGGGAAGGGATGTGAAGGGTAAACCAAAGGAGGAGGCTGCAATGCTTGGTAAGAAATGTACGCATTATTCTGCCCATGTAATTGTAACCCCTCTGTACAGTATGTTCACAAATAAAATAAAATAAATAAAAAAAAAAGCCTCCACAACACAAACATAAAGTCAAGGGCATGGGGAGGCTTGGAGTAATGTTAAACCTGAAGTCTTCTCTCCCAGAATTTTACCAAACAGAAGATATGCTAATATATAATTATACACCAATAGGGGCCCCAGTAAGTTGGCAGATGGATATCCTCCTAGACAAGGGTGGCAGTGTTGGACAGCAACAAACAAAAAGCAAGAGGAAGTTGACACAGGGTTGTAGGCATAGATGTTAACTCCTCCCTTGGGAGCAGTGGCAACAAGACAGTAAGTGAACACAAATGTGCTCAAACCCACAGCTGTCTTGACAGTTACAGCATATGCCTCTAAGAGGCATACTGAAGTCATAGCAGGAGTATGTTACTGGCACTGCCTATATTACAAACCTGCCATCCATCTTCCTAGGAAGATTTAGCATGATTCACAGGATTCAACAATTATCACAAGTATTTTAAAAAAGCAAAACAAAATAAAGGAGTTCAGGACTCCCTCTTAAACCAGCCTACCAATCACAAATCAAACTGGCTTTCTTAAATAAAGATACATTCCAGATCTTTCTCTCTTAGGGTAAGGAGGCTAAATGAATAAACTTCTGTAGCTATATTTGGATTGCTTCACTAAGAAAAAAAAGACAAATTAAAACCAGTATCAGAGTTAAAGGTATAAGAGCATCTCCTAGCAAGCCTAAGCCAAATTCAAACCCTAGTATCACAAAAAAGAAAAGGATGAATCGATTTATGAAAGTTACAGTATGAAAGACTGTAAATCTTAATCTCAAACTCTTCTCTACTTTCTCCTTCCTCATCATGCAAACAAGATTAAATGAATTTGAAATGTCAAAAATACCCAACACAGAGCCATGCAATAGTTTGCTGCTAACATTATGAAGTGCTTACTCCATGCCAGACAGTAAACGACAGCTACTATGCCACCTGACACCTGTGAAAAGGAGAATAAACATAAATAGCCTTTCATTCTACAAGTTCTCTGTAACATCTGGAATATTTTACCTCTGAAAGAGTTGGACAATAGAAATAAAAGTCAAACCTATACTTTGTGCTAACAACATTTATAAAAGATTTGTGTGAAGCCATAAAGAATGTACCTATAGATTTTACTTATCTATAACATTATACTTCTTGGATAATTCAAATTAGATGCAATTAAAATAAAGAATACACAAATACAAAATCTGATAAGTATTTGTGCATGTACACCTCCATATTGCTTAACAATATAATAAAAGGGCCAAAACATGGAAATTATCCAGTTTCCTAAAATATCTACGGCGCATTCTTGGCCACTTATAGCCAGAAACAATTGTCTTCTTCACTAACACCCAATATTATGACTCCTACTGCCTTTCAGTCTGAAGACTTGAAGTGTGTCAAAGCAGTTAATGTTACTTTATAGTTCTTTACACTAGTAACACAGTGTATCAATTTTCTCAACCCAAACAACATGGAGTTTCAACAATCTTGTTACTTTAAGTGAAACGACCAAACTTACTTCAATTTATACAGTACATACCAATACATACTCACTAGTCCACTAGGTGACTTGTTGGCACTTAAGATGAACAAATGCTTACATAGCCACTTAATAACGGCAACCTAGTTATTAACCTTACAACAGCACCGCTAACTCATCAAGAGAATTCTTATGGACTATCTTTATTGAGTATTTACAGAATGTAAAGTACTGAAGTCCAATCGTGACAGACAAAATGGTTTCAGTATTCCTGGAGGTTTACAGGTGAGAAGCATAATGCTTCTCCCACTGGTAGCTCATCTGTCTGTACTGGTAACTTTATATGTCCGTAAACGATGTTATAAATATGCAAATAGCCCTTGGCCCTGCCTCCGAAACAGAGCCGAATTCAGCGCAAAGACACAGTGCAGGGCTAGGGGCCATGAAACCGTGACCAACAGTCCGTTTGCTGTGTGATCGCAGGAAGGTCACTTTATTAGCATCTGTAAGCCAGAGCTGCCTGATCTGTAAAGCACAGGTTTTAACCTGATGGTCACATCCTTCTGGAGTAATTCAGGGTTGTAGGAAACAAGTGCTGCACCTCTGGGTGCGCTTTCCTCACTTAGCAGTGTGCGTACGAATGAAGGGCAGTAGACCCCATTTTCGCTAGGGAAGACGCCCCAACGCCCCTCTTTGCTCTTTGGCTGTCTCTGCCAGGCAGCTGTAGCCGTAACCGGGAGCTTCATAACATGACTGGAAAGACACTGAGCGTCCCCTCCCTTCCCGCACTCCAAGGAACCCGCACAACGTCTCCACTCCTCCGACTTCCCTCACCGGCCAGGCGGTGCAGCAGTAGCCAAGCCGACGGCAGAGGCGGTTAAATTTGGGCTCCCCGGTGCCCCGAGAGCGCGCTCCCGCCCACTGCACCTGCTAGCCAGGCGCCGCTGGGAACTCTGGCCGCCAGTCTGACGCGTGATTCCCTCCCTCCCCCCCCCCCCCCCGCCCCGCCACTCCACCCCACCCCGCGGGGGCCGGTTTTGGCGCGCGACAGTGACGTCAGCGTCCTGTCAGCCGCTGCCCTCGCCGCGGCCAGAACAACCTCGCATTTTAAACTCGGCCCCGCCCTGCCCAGCGCGTCGGCGGGGGCAGCTGGCTGCCGGGCTGCGCCGTTAACGGGCCCCAGAGGCCCCGCGCCCCATCCACCCGCGCTGCTCACCTTCAAGTGGCCGCTGTCCGGGCTGCTCGCTTCTTCCTCGTCCTCACCTCCCGAGGCGGCGGCGACCGAGGCAGCGGGCGGGGGCGCGGCCCGGCCCCGCAACCCCGGGTGCTCCGCTACAACCGGCAGGGAGGCCGAGGCGGCGCCCCCGGCGGCCCCGGGGCTGAGCGTCACGTTGTGCGCGTTCTCGCCCCAGCGCCACGGGTACACCATAAAGTCACTGAAGCCGGGGCTGGTGGGGATGAGCGGCGGCGGTGGCTCCGGCTCCCCTCCGCCGCCGCACGCTGGCTTCATCGGGGTCGTCCTGATGACAGACACCAGCACCCGCTTTGGAGAGTCGTGGCAGAAGATGACCGGCGGTGGCGGGTTGTCCCCCATCGGCGCCTCCACGCCCCGTATCATCACCCGGCCCCGATCCGCAGTTCCGGCAGCCTCGGGCTGCACTCCTTGAGTCCCGGTTTACCCCAAGCTCGCCGGCCCGCGCTGCCCTAGATCTCCAACTCAGGCCAGCCGGCTCATGGCAGGCGGACGTTTCCCGGAATCTTGCGCAGCAGAATACCAAAGAAGCTGAGGGACGCGGCACTGCCGGCTCCCAGCGGGCAGGGTTGAACCCCAACCCTGGGTCGAGCCCTCCCTCCGCTCTTTGTACTCCCTTAGGCAGGTTGCAGTGGCGGGAAGCAGCGGACGGCCTGGTCCTGGCGGTGACTGGAAAACAGGACGTGCGGCGCCAGGCGCCCGAAAATAACAACCTGCCACGGCGGTCCCAGCTCCGACTTTTCCCGCGTTACATTTCGCGCCTGGGCGGAGCCAATCACGGCGAGGTCACAGCCCGCTGGCCACAGCGGAGAGTGACAGGTCGAGTGAGCCAATGGCTAGGCCTGGACTGCTTGCTAGTCGAAAGGGGCGGGGCCATGCCTGCGCGCGGGTCCTTACAGACTTACGATTGGCTGCCTCTTCCCTCCCACCCCCTGCCTCGGGAGCCAACTGTGTTCGAAACTACTATGGAACGCGAGCAGTATATGCCGGCTCAGGCACACCCGCCTGGAGCCACGCCCCAGCCTGGGACGCCGGAGTGAGGCCGAGAAGGGGCCAGAGAAGTTGTTGATTGGAGAAGCTGTGAGAGGGTGGAGCCGGGGGCGGTCGTTGGCCAGCGGTGGCGCGCGCCCCACTCGGCCCCGCCCCGTCCGCTGTGGCTGTTGGGCCGAGGTTCCCGCGCGCTGGAATTTAAAGGGCTATGGCCCTGCAGCCAGCCCCGCCCTCCGATCCCGGAGCTCGGCTCCTTAGAGCGCTTCATTGTGCTGCACCGGGTCCTGGTGGCAGCAGTAGTTTCCTAATGGAGTTCGTCTCCGCAGTTGTTGTGCTCGCTGCGAATTAGACCTAGCTAAAGGTCATCCTCTACCCGCTTCCCTCCACCAGTCTTACGGGGGCCCTGTGAGGCCAAGGCCGTGTTGGGCTACCGCTCCGCTCTTCTGCGACTGGAGGAAAGGGTCTCTAGGGTCTGGGGTGGGCGACTCGCAGCACGGGGACACACAGCTGCCTAAAGGAACCCACCACCCCGCTGTCTGCTTGCTGAGCCTCCGGACGCCCTCCTGCCAGCGAGCACTCGCCTTTTGCCAGCTCGCGCTCCACTCGGGGCCCTTGCCAGGGGCGAACTGCAAAACCTGAGCCGCCCACAGAACCCGGACCAGCCAGGACTCAAGCACACCGCGCGCAAAACAAGCAAAACCCCAAAGCACAGCATCTGGCTCCTCCCTGCCAGGTAGGTGGAGGGACTGTCCATTTATTCTGTGCACTCTCTCCCTGAGCCCAGCGTGACTCATGTTAGGGGATCCATAAATATATGATGAATTAAATGGATAATGGGTGGATGGATGTCCAATGATTAAGGGTTAAAATTGACTATTGCATGACTGCAGAATATGCATAATATCACTTTACATACCCACCTACACCCGCGCAGCTATGCCAAAATTTAGCCACAATTGTTTAAGAACAAGGAAAACTTTGGTACTCATACATTCCAAGGTACACTTTTTCTTTTTTTGGTCAGTCGTGGGGCCTGAACTCTGGGCCTGGGCGCTGTCCCTCAGCTCTTCAGCTCAAGGCTAGCGCTCTACACTTGAGCCACAGAGCCACTTCCGGCTCTTTCTGTTTATGTAGTGCTGAGGAATTGAACCCTGGGTCGCATGCATGCAAGGCAAGAGCTCTACCACTGAGCCACCTTCCCAACCTCCTCCCCCAAAGATACATTTTTAAAGGATAAAACAGGCAATAGCGTGATACTTTTATGTAAAAATTTGTCAGAGGATGCACGTGAATGAGAGTGTGTGTGTTTATGAGGCGTATAGCTAAAAATCAGTAGTTTAAGCTTCATTAGCTTCAGAAAAACAAATGGTAAAAGTTTACATCCAAGAGTGCTTAAAGTTCCTAGGTGCAACTCAAGAAGCTGAGATCTGAGAATCTCCATTCAAAATCACCCAGGCAGGAAAATCTGTGAGACACTTATTTCTAATTAACCACCAAAGAGCCAAAAGTGGAGCTAAAATGGCTCAAGTTGTAGAACACCAACTATGAAAGAAAAAGCCCATGGACAGCACCTAGGTCCTGAGTTCAAGCCTCAGTACTGGGCACAAACACACAGACACATGCAGGCGCTCTCTCTCTCTCTCTCTCTCTCTCTCTCTTTCTCTCTCTCGCTCACTCGTGCACTCTCTCTCTCTTTCATATATACACACACACATGAAAAGAAAGCTGCTTAAAGTTATAACTATAAATATTTGTCTATTCTTGTTTTATAATTCTAGTAATTTCTTCTGATTAAAGATATTAAAGGCTCACTGAAACACAAAAGTTTACAATTTGGCAGGAATGAAAAAGAAATTTAACGTTTTTATGTGTTAATGAAAGGGGAGAAAGTATAGATATGGATTTGAACAGAGTGTTAATGTTGAGAGAGAAGCAAAAATTGAATGCAAGACTTTAAAAGCAGTAGCATACATGGTCTCTGAACAGTAATACCTTGGTCACAGATGAACAAATAGGAAAGCTCTTCTGTGTAAATACACAACATGAAGAAAGAGTAGAGCTGGAAAATGGAGCAGCAGAGTTAGGTAAAGAGCTCTGCTGTCTGGCTGGTTAGAATGGGGGTATCGGCACAACCTCTTCTGAATGCCCCAGAAACCCATAACTTGGCCATGCTCTGTGATACAGGTCTGGGATTATAGTCAAAGCTATGCCCCCTCAGGACTCAGTTGCCTTTGGCACTCATGTATTTCAGATCATGGAGAATATTCTCACTTTTCTGAATAGCTGCTTGAAGCCATGGTTGAGCTTTGGCTCATGTCTCTTAGATATTGACACCAAGTACAGCCTTCTGGGTGCTTTAGGTAAGGGAGTATGGGAGAAACCCCATGATCTTGTTGGAGAAAGAGTTCTGTTTCCTGAGTATGATGTACTCGTGGGTGGGAGGAGGGAGGATTAAAACTAGGGTTGAGGTGGGAAGGGCCCACTGAGAATTTGGTATATAAGAGAAAAATCAGCTCTGGGGCTAAAGCCATCCAGCAGTTTCTATCTGATAGAATAAGTGAATCTGAATTGTACTCATTTCCTTACTTATGTAACTATAACCCTTCTGTACATCACCTTTACAATAAAAAAAGAGTGAATCTGATTGCTTCACAGAGACATCTAACATAGAAAATTGAAGCAGATGAAGCAAAATCACTATTGTAAGGCATGACGCCTGACAGATTGGAGTTCATGTAAGACTAAGGTTTCCATCTGAAACTGACAGGTTACCTCCTTGTGCTGAGGGTTCCAGGCAGAAGGAATGAATAGTGACTTTGTGGCCTGACTGCTTTAGTTACACATGGTGGGTGCCCTCAAGAACAATTTTCGCTGACACTTGATCTGACTCCCAACTCCAGGAAGCAGTGCTGACCCCTGTGGTCCTCTGAGCAGAGATTGGAGCTCTGTCCACAGGACATAGGGAGCACACATCAGACTGCTGCCTGCACCTTCTTTGCTTTTACAGACAAAATTCTCCTTTGAGGTTTTTCAATAAGAAAAATTGAACATACTTTACCACCTTTAAGAATTAAGCAAGGCAGAGAACAAATATTAAATGGGCAGCATTTTACTCCTATAGTGGATATCCTGAGCTTCCTATACAGAGTTCTAAGTCCTTAATTTTACATATTTTCTTCTTAAGAGACTGGGAACGTTTTATAGAAAAAAGAAGAGGAGGGAGTTGGGTGCTGGTGGCGCACGCCTATAATCCTAGTTACTCAGAAGGCTGAGATGTAAGGGTTCCGGTTCAAATCCAGCCAAGGCCGAAAAGTCCCCTTGATATTCTCATCTCCAATTAACCTGCTCAAAAACTGGAAGTGCAGCTGTGACTCAAATAAAGTGGTAGCCTTGAACAAAGGAGCTCAGGACAATGCACAGGCTGAGTCTAAGCCCAAGGACTGACCAAAAATAATAAAAAGGAGGATTTAGATTGTTGGATCTGTTTGGTCTGAGCTTGCCAGAACTGAGCCCTCTTTTTTCCTTCTGGAGATATCAGGCTCATTAGGACATCAGTTGCTAGGCACAGACTCCAACAGAAAATGAGGCTGAGGAGAGACTCACAGAAAGACAATCAACCTGTGATAACTGAGTCCCTGCTTCTACTAGAATGAAGGATCTGAGTGGGTAATGAGTTGGATGCTGCTCAGTAGGTGGCCAGGTGAGAAGTAATAAAAGGACTAAATGATGCTGTGATTCACCATACCTGTGTCTTGACATTGTGCAAAGTGCTTTGCTCCTGGGTCTGTACTCATGTCTGAGGTGTGCAGACACTTCTGTATTTCACATGGTAGTTTGATATTTGTATTGTACAGGTTGACACACAGGTCTGTGAGAAGCCACATAAACAAGCAAATAATATTACATTATTGTTGCACTTTTGACTTTGTCTTCTAATTGTTGGAGGTTTCAGACCTTTATACTTAAAGCAGTCCCTATCCTAAGAGTTGTTATGCTGTAACATCCCTGTGTTTCTACCTTTGTTGTGCATAAGCCACATCCTGATTTTACAGGACAGAGACCTCTGAGAAAAGAAGCTGAGGAGGAGCAGAAGCTGCTTTCTGTGGTGCCAAGGTGACTGGTCACTTTTTTCCTGTTCCCTTCTTTATCATGTTCTAGGCATACCTGGGATTAAGTACAGCCAGCCTGAGTCTTGAGACAGATAAAGTAATGGCTATGATTATGAGGACAGGCTAGGGAGTGCATGTAAAAGATATATTAAGAGGGTAACTAGATTCAAGAGTTCCCTTCTCCCCACCCCAACTGCCCCATCCCACCCCTGTACTGTAGGCCATCAGGCCCTCTATTCGTTGGGCTGGTCCTAGTTACAACATTGTACTTTCTGTTACCTGTAGCCTCCTAGACAAGCATCCCAACACTACTTGCTTTCAGAAACTGCTATGTCCAGATCCTCTCTGTCAGATGTGTAGTAGGACAGTTGCAGAGGCCAGTCACCTGCTATCTCAAGCATCCATGAAAGTTGTCGCCTCTTTTGGGTGTCCATCTGTTTTCAAAACTTCTGTGAAAAAAAGTCATTAACTTCACTGAACACTCCTTTCTCAGAAAACCTACCAGAAAATGCAATTCCAGCCACAAAACCCGAGTCTTCTCCAACTCTACCCTCCACAGGCTCTCTTAACCAGGTGATCTTACCACCAGACCATGCTCTGCCATG